TTATCTTTTATAAAAGTACTCTGTCAACTGCTATCGGATATTGTCATAAGACTGGCCATGAAAAACATGACAGTGACAATCCATTATTAGAGTATTACCATCGTCTCCTGGGTATCTTGACATTAGATACCAGTGTCTCTTCAATCAGCAACTAGCTGAGAAGTAGCACGCTGCGAGAATCTAAACGCAAACATAGAAACAGGTAACAGATAACCCTAACCCAAAAAAAGATTCAAAGATTTTTTTTTATAAACAACATATAATAGTTGCACGTGATCAGGTAGTATTTTCCTATTTGTGTGACTAATTGCTATGACTACTTTATGTTTATTGCAAGAATATTTAACATTTTCATTGACAAAGCTTTTTTGGTTTTAGCAAAGGTCAACTAGTTTCCAGACTTCAACTAAGAACAAGTTTGTTTTGTTGCAGCCCACAAACGAGAGCCCAACTGCTACTAGATTTTTGACACCGTTACCAATACAGAAATTTGAGAATTATAAAAATTTAACAATTATACGTTAACCTATGCTTATTTTCTTTTTACATGAACACCCTAATATTTTTCCCATAAATTCATTTTTTACCAATAATTATGACAAAGACATGTACTGAGCAGAACCTTTTACAGTTCAAAAATGAATTTGTCAGTGCTCTCTAGTGGACAAACTATGTACAGCACCACTGATTTATGTCAAACACATCTGTGGCATTTCTGTACTGCAATTTCTTGCTACTTGTCATCTAGTCTTGCATAGTCAGACGGCTGCCGAAGCTGGAGCATGGTCTGGCTGCATCAATTATCATTCTGCAATTGAGCAAAAAAGCATTTTGATTTATTTGCATTCCTTCAGACCAATAACAATCGTCTCAGGCGGTGCTGAGCTTAGGATGCAGCTGCACGGTGCGCCTGCATACTAGAGCAGGGGCAGTCGTTAAAATGGATGATTCCCCGCAAAGTACAGGCCACAAAAACAGCCGAGACGCATGTCGACTATTTGACTGTGCGATCCAAATCCTGATCAAAAGTTCCCATTTTCAGTGTGTAGGTTGCCAGATCAGAGGCTGCTGTTGTTTCCTGCGGCGACAGGGATTTTGAAAACACTAGCAGGCAGTGCAGCTGATTTACTGGTCTCGCTCTAGTACAAATACAATATCAGTATGTAAGTATATATAAACAGCAGTGACTTGTTGGCTGTACTGCTGACTCATCCTCTACCTCAACATTCATCCAAGCTTTTCTAATGATCCACTGCCACTGTCGAAATTGGCTAAACAGAAAGGATCATCAGCTTCATGCTAGCGGTCTGGAAAACACACCCCAAGTCTAGACAACTGATGTATTCCATAATAGAGCCTCGTTAACAGGAGACACCTTCGTGTCCACCCTCCGGCATGTTTTACCATAGAGCAGCTGCCATGATTTCCAACTGTGCGCACGCATAAGAGCACACACTGTCTGTATTTGAGTGTGGACCGTGTGGGCTCGAGTTTGCTGCAGTTGGATTATGTACCTCGTGGCGTTTGGGCTGAGCAGTAATAGTGGACAGGGGCTGTCATGTTTTCATTTCATCACGTAAGATTTCGGTATTTATAAAAGCAAATGAGAGCTTTGGGATTTTAATGCAGTTTTGTTGGGCACATGATCTTGCTTTGAATATATATTGCTGCAGGACTCTATATTTTCTGCCAATTACACAACCAAGGTCTTTGGCTGACACGTGTCAGTTTCATGTCATATAAATGAATCAATCTCCCTCTCCCTAATTCAGTTCAATTTAGTACCCTGCATTTCTAACGCACTCTTGGCAAAATAGGAAATAAGTGCAGCTAAAAGCCACGGAGAAAAAAAATGGCTATTTGATGTTGATTTTATAACAAGTTAACCTTTATAATGTTTACTGTGTGGTGTCCATCTTGACTGTGTGGGTTGAGATCTGCTTATGGCAGTGAATCTGGCAGACTCAGGCAGACAAATTCTAATTTAATTAGGCCTGGGAATAATGTAAAGCCTACACAATTTCCTTGACAAATAACCTACACTGAATGGTAAATAACAAGTCTGTAAAATTGTTGTGCTGGGATCAAGCCATCGGTTGTATAACAGCTCTGTGTTTGTTGAGTAGTGGCTATGTAGGATGGATTTATGGTGAATAATAATGGAGAGTAGTGAGAAGTGAAAAAGCCCACGCAAAAGCTCTTGGTGTAATGTATGCAGCCAGCACCTAATTTCCTATTCCTCTCCAAGGAAGCCTTCTGAAACTAACCCAGCCGCTCTATTTATATCTGGCAACATCTTTTCATCTCTGCACTGACAGAGCCATTAGGTACAGCACAACCCTATAGCATCTTGACCTTCTCGCTGATAAGTTTGAATGTTAAAACACTATATCGTTCATAATTCCCCAGCAATCAGGGACGCTCACTGATAAACTTCCTAACAGGACATTTCAACCAAGTAAGTGGCAATTCTCATTGGTCCATGACTAATATGTTGCTTTTTTTTTCTTCTAATAAACTGACAGAGCCTGTGAACTGAACATGAAACAGATTAGTGTGCTGAATTTCAGATGTGCATGTGTGTGTGTGTGTGTGTGTGTGTAGTCAGGCCTGAGTGCATGTGTATGTCTAAGTCATACATGAATATGAGTGTTTAATATCTAAAATAGGGAAACAGTTTCATTTCAGGGCTTAAATTACTCACCCACTGTAGTTTAGACCCTTGCGTGTAATTTCATATCTCAGACAGAAGGATAACTATGGATTGCAACTGTGACAAGTTTTGGTCACTTGAGATAAATGTAATGAGACAAACAACCTACAACACAAGCTACAGAGTATATTTAGTCGGATTTCTGCAAATTTGGTCAAATATGGCCATTTATGCACAAGCTGAGCACATGAATAGATGATGAAGAGGTGAACTTTGCTTCAACAGTGGTTCGAGTTGTTTCTATTGATAATCTCTTTCAGTGTGAAAACCTCATTTGAATCCATTGCCACAAACATGAATTTGAGTTGGCCACAGCCGCCTCAGCGCTCTGTGAAGAATCAAACAACCATCTTTCAATAGCCAAGTTTGCACGTGGTTCTGGCATGTACTCAAACAATACACCAAAGGACAAGTAAAACCAGCCTTTGTACGTGAGGATTTCCTTCAGACTTCAATTTATAAAGCTGGAAATATATCAAATACAACATGCATTAAAATGTTCATTTGTAAGTGTATTTTACTTATGGATGTGTTGGGCCTTGGTTGCCATAGTATCATGGACATTAGGAAATTGACCAAGGTTCTTAAAATGTTGTAGTCAGTTCTATATAGAGTTTACACAACTAAATTTTATTGCCAATAATGTGGAAGTGCATGGTAAATTATACCAGCATAGTAGTTTTTATTGGATTTATTAGATGGCTGTTAGTGCAACCTGCTAGTATACTTAGCATTTAAAGAAAAAGTTACAATGGAGCAGACACAATTATTTAATGTGGATTTATGGTTTCATGCACTTTTAAGTGCAATCTGTATATCATTAATTTGCTTTGTATGTCAAGTCATTTTTTAATCATATCGTAATTAATGTTTTGTCACCATTTGGTAGAAGCCTAGTCAAAGCAGCACAAGGCTCACACATGATACGCATGATGTTTATTGTTATATTCATGTAGTTAAGGTGGGAGAGGCCACACTAGAAAGACGCAGGGGAAGCAGAGGGCCCCCAACTCGAAAGTAAGGGCCCACCCCCCTTGGAACTCGTTTTTTTTTGTCTTTATGTCGATACATCTGCTATGACCACAACATGGTAAATGGTGAGAGGCAGGTTTAAAAGGTATTCTATCTTTTGCTATGGTGGGGGGAGTTAATGGGTTTACCCAGATGACTTGTTTGGACACTTAATGAGTGAAAGAAAGGAGAATGAGCAACAACATTATGCAAAAGAGAAATAACTATTTAGTCGGGAATTGAATGCAATGACATGCCAAGTGTTTTAAGTGCTGATAAGTACACATTAGGCTAATGGGATGTAGCCAAAATAACTGCAGGTTTTAGGTTACATTGTTTTGTATACAAAAAAAAGTAGAGTGATTTAATTGAACAAAAAGCTGGGTTGTGGCCTGGTCCTGCCATGTGCTGTTTCTACAAAAAAAAATCATAATAAGGATAATAAGGAGGTGGGATGGCAGTGCCTTCACATCGAGGTTAGTAAACAAGGAACTGATTCACCATGGATGGTATCAAGAACAACCCAGCTAGCACTAGTTTTAACTGGTCTTGATTATTTACTGTTACAGTAAGTCATCGGGAGAAAATCAAACCAAGATAAAGCAGTTGGCAAGTTCTTCTAAAAATGAGTAAAAAGTCAAAAGTCACCATTGTCTGGTTTTGTTGACCATTCTTTGCAAATCAAATTAGCATGGGCAATGTGTAAAAATCCAGCAAATGTATTGCAATCAGTTGGTCATTATTGTACTTACCACCCTCTTTAACCCATGAGCAGCCAATGATTAGATTCCAGCTGTAAGAACTAGTCATCCCTCCCCTGATGGCAGCACAAACTAAACGTCTTACTGTTTTGCATGAATCAATCATTTTAAAATCATCCTCTGTAGGAAAACCTCTACTGTTTTTATGTGGCACATTTTTCCAGTGTCTGGAGTAAGGTCCAATATATGATTTATGCACAGGAAAACAACATCATTGTCTCGGTTGATAGAGTAACTTTTTTGGAAAACCTCATATATTTCAGAGAAGAGATACAAATGATGCATGCTTAACTGTGACAGGAATATTTTTCATCTTCTTGCTAGAACCTTTGATCTATGATGTACATGTTTAACTTAGGATTTTCGAATTGTGTTTTTTCTCTTTGTCATTTTTTTAAAGTACAAACTACATACGGTAACCTACTGAACAAAATGATGTAGTTACACTTGAAAGTGGGCTAAAGAAAAAATAAAAAGCGCTATTAGTATGAAGCTGTGGCGGTGTGTTCACTCACCAGCTGGGCATCTGCAGGAGGCTGTTCCATCGGAGCGTGTCAGGCAGGTGGAGTTGTGCAGGCACGGATTGTGGAGGGGGTCACAGGGGTCATAAGGCTGGTTGCACAGGGGGCCACTGAAGAAGGGGGGACAGGTGCAGGAGAACTCCCCAGGTATGTCTGACTCCTGACACTGAGCTCCATTTAGACAGGGCCCAGAATCACACTCATCCACATCCTCTGCACAGTCCACACCTGTCCACCCCGGTGAGCACAAACACCTTGGACACAGCAGAGAGGAGACGTGTGACTGTAGAGGTCTTTTTGGCATAAATCAAAATGAATCCTAAATAAATAAACTCTTGCAACTTATTTAGTAGTTTTCTAAGGCCGGGGCGGGGGGGTATCAAATTCTATCACAACAGAACTAACGTAGCTGCAGTGCTGAGGGTGCTTCTACACACATGACATATACAGTACATATATACAGTACATATATATATATAATATATATATATATTTTTTTTTTTTCTTGTTTTTTCAATTCATATGATCCACATTACACATTTTTCACACATATATTGGCGCTGCGCTCCTGGATCTTTGTGCAGGACAGCGTCGGGACTTCACAGGTTAATTGTGCTACTGGTCAGAGCAGCATTTAATTCTGGACAGCTGAATGTAGGACACAAGAGGTTAGAGCACTGAGTGGGGATTAAATGGAAATGTATGAATGCGAGAGACAGAGAGAGAGAGAGAGAGAGAGCGAGAGAGAGAAAATACTAGAGCGTGTGTGTGAGAGTCTGAAGTATCTGCTCTTAAAGCTGGTGACTATTCCACTTGGTGGCAGTGAGTACCCGAGCACTACCAACCACTCCACCTTGCATTCCTTTCCATCCCCCAACTTTTCCACCTGAAGCAGTTTCACATCTCCCCAGTGGGAGGGGCAGGGGAGGAGGAGGAGGGGTCGTGGGGTGGGAGGTGGGGGGTGGGGAGTGGCAGGGGCATTAGCTGAAGCAGATACACCGGCTTTTTCCTCCAATGAGTCACAGATCCCCTGAAACCTTTTCATGCTGTGAGGCATTGATTGACTCATTTGTTTTACCTGCCATCTGCAATTCATTATCTCCGCTGCCAGTGGAAGGACATATTGCTATCACTGAACAGCTTCTTTTTCTGCATTTATTAAGTGGCTGATGCACCTCGTGAGGACGGCGCCCTCGAGCCAGCTCGCGCACCTACTTGTAGCTGTTGAGAAGGTCTGTGCAGGTGGCGTTGTTTTTGCAGGGCTGTGATAAACATTCATCAATTTCTTGTTGGCAGTACTCCCCCTCCCAGCCAGGATGACACACACACTCATAACTCTGCAATACAAACAAAAAAAAAGGGTAGCACTATGAGATTAACAGTGAAATAGAGGGACACCTTAAATCTGCACTGTCTTGGTAGAGTATTTTAAAGTAGTTAAGAGTCTAGTATTTATCATAGCAAAACACACCGATAGAATAAAACTCTATATACATATGGAAGCTGTTAATTATGTTGATACAAAGCTGTCAGAGAGCATTCTGCCACTTATTTGTTTACTTATTTATACCTGTTACATTTAAGAAAACAAACATAGCAATGCTTAATATACTTGATTAAATTCATCCCAATTTTCTTTAAAAAAAAAAATGTTGCAGAATAAAACCTCCCACTCACAAAAAAAGATCTTTCCTGTGGAAATCTGTTTAAACTGTGGCAGAGTCATGCTTGTCTTAAATTTTCACATTACTGCTATGCAGATGTATTCCTCCTACCACCCACCCTCTGGATAAAACGCAAGCCTGTTTTTTCCACGCCATTCAAGGTATACCGTACAAACCTTTCTTATCAAGCATGCAATATTACCGCTGCATATTTTGTCTGGAAAGGAATTTTCATGGGCAAGCAAACATGTAAAAATATGTTCGATTAAGATTTGTCAGAATTTCTCTCTACAGCCAATGAATATGTTGTTTCTACTGTACATTAAGAAACTGCTTTATATATGTATACATATATACACACACATACACACACACACTTATATATATATATATATATATATACATATATACATATAGACTCTATATAGCTCCTGCTTGCTAATCTTTCCCATTTTTTCTTTCCTCCATTCAAAACAGTGTATGGATCATTCGTCCTTTCTTTTTATCATTGCAATCTACATTATGATAATTAATCACGACATGGGAGATGAATGGTTTGTTTGTACTGGTTTAATTTAAATTCCTCTTTGCACGCAGGATGAAGGTTGTCGTATGGTCAAGGGTTTTTCGGGATTCCTCATTGCCAACATCCCGTCTAAAAGGTCCTGGGTGCTGCTGCTTGAATGCATGCTAATCTGTATTTCATACACTGGAGGGGAGCCGTTAAACTTTGTCTGATATAATTTGTACACTGTGGGGCCTATGGTTGTGGAGAGAAAATGCCGTCATCTCGTGATAAATTAGATACCTCCAGGAGACTCCAATTCCTTACCCCTGGCAATAGAACATAATCTCATTTTTGCTGCTAAGTCACCTTCAGGGACCGCAATTCTCCAAAATAAGCTAAAGCTCTGTGGGACACAGTGTTCAGAGAGAGGAATAGCTGCACTGTAAACAAGACTATGTGAAGGGGTTTCCAAAAACTGTCCCTATTTTAATGATGAGTTGAGGAAAAAACGGCAAAACAGAGAACAGTGTGGCTAGAAAAATATTGGTTTGAATTTCATTACATCCCTCATATCATAGCCCATTTCTTTCTTATGCAGTGTGTCCTTTTGTCTTTGGATTTGGAGCGTTTAGTTTATCCTAGAGAGTGACAGTGAAATGTTATAACCAAGATTCTGTGCTGGGACAATTTTGAAACCTTGTCATGGAATTCCTTGTAGACCATTTCATAATACAGGGAGGAAAAAGGAGCATTTGTCCTTCAGACATACTGAAATTGCTACAGTAGCACTTTCCTAAAATCAATGTTTCTTTATAACCACAACAGAGGATACTAGTTTGCTTCTGGTAGTGCTTCTGAATACCACAAAATCTCCACTGGAAGAGCAAAGTTAGTATTTGTTAAAATAGTGTCCATGCCAGTACATTTTGTTTCATAAGTGAGAGGAGAGGGAGAAAAAACAAGATTTTTTTCAAACACTGAGAAATAAAAATAGAACATGTTGATTTCAACACGTCAATGCGTTGTTTATATGTATTATATATTTGTGTATATGCGATCCATATTCTGACTTTTATTATTTTTGACAAAAGGTTGACTTGTTAGATAAAATACTGATCATAATTGAGTGGTTGCTATGGAGGAAGGTCTGACACAAGCTGAAAGCTTAACGCCTCACTCTGAAAATCCATTTTGAGAGGTAGAAGTGCGGTATTGAAACTGTATAGAAATTAGTTTAAAAACTACTTACAGAATAAATACTGTAAATAGTAAAGGTTCTGAAAGACATGTAAAAATAAATGTCTCTGTTTTTCTTGTCACCATTTTGGCCCCTACAGGTCTCCCAACTGAAACTTTGTTTTCATTAAACAGTTCTCATCTTTCTTACATACATTATGCACTAATTTTCCAGAGCACAGACTTATTTTAAACCAGAACATTAGGTGAGGACTATAAGTTATTTGTCTTTGTCGGAATAATAAAAAAAAATAAAAAACCCAAAGACTTTATCTATGACACATCTGCTTCACTGCTGCAATCTGTTAGCAAATAAGCAGCTGTTGGAAAAAGGCCCCTGGTACTCATTGCACAGTTTGTGCATGAGCAGCATGCAGCTCCCAAGGCCTTTTTGCAGCTGCAACAGATCAATGTTATTGGCTTAAAAAAACACTTGAATAAGTACAGAAGTAGAGCTGTGCCTTAAAAAAAAGGAAATCGAAATGATCTGATAAAATTATCTTTTATACGCAAGTGTGGGTATCTGTATAAGCAGGCATCAATGCAGAAGGACCAGCACGCACATAATGTGCCGAGAAGAAAATCACTTGATCTTTGATGTAAAACTTACAGCCTGGATTTCACAAACTCAGTTTTCATTTATTGTTTCAGCAAGCACCTACAGAGAATCAACCGACACTGCAGCCAAAAGGCAACGCAGGCCTCGTCCTGTTTATCCAAAATATCCAACAACTGAAATTCAACTCGAACCGAGTTACATTATCTTAGCTATGACTATGTAAGCTGTGGCTGATAAGCTGTGCTGTAAATGTAGTGAATCTTTCAGAAACAAGACACACCGTGTCCTGTGCGGACAGCCGTTTTTTACACTTGACATTTGGCATTGATAGGCGTTCATAATTTCCTATCTGTGCGTACACATGTTTTACATAGCCAGGAATGGCAGACCTTGATACCAGCAATGGGAAACATTCTGTGTTGTTAAGTAGAGCGGCTGACAGAATGTGAAGTCACTGAATGGCTGACTGAATAAAGAAGCACCATCTAGGAGGCTTTCTTTATATTTTATGTAACTACGTGTATCTGTGAACCGTTTAAATCTTTTTCCGTGTTCTAGTTGCAAAAAAAAGAAAAAAATTCCGTTCAAAAGATGGACACTGATGATCATGCATCTCATATTTAACATGCCCACTGCAGATACCTGTGTTTTTGTTTATAAGTATTCTTCACTACTCTTTGGGTCATTTTGGCTCCTTAGAAGCTCAGCCCACAAGGTGTAAATGACATGATTGGCACAATTTGTCAATTAGGAGACACAATAATGAGGTCTAGACATTAGACATTTTACTATTTGTATCTTAGTTCACCCAGACACCTGAAACTTCCCCAATAACACGGCCAGATTTGCCTACAATATATACACCTGATTGTCGTCCACCTGTCCTCCCAGAGCCATATAGGCTTTATTTTATTCTTTTTAATGATCCACCACTATTCATGTTATTGCACCGTTGTCTTTATTTTACTACAACAGAAATGCTTTTAAACGCTATCTGCATGACAGTCATCAAACGTAATAGGCAGCACCATATGTGATTGAGGTCTGTCAATATTTTATAAAAACTCAAGGGTGTTTCAATGAGTTACCAAATGTAGCGATTTACAGGGCACTGGACCATTTTCAAGCCTTTCAGAGGCCATTATATCACTCTGTTATACTGCCAAAACAAAAATGTCCACTCACCAGATGGAGGTCCTTACAAACAGAATTGGGACTGCACAAACTGTTCACGCAGTCATCGATGTCTTGCTCACATCTCAGCCCGGCATAACCCGGACTGCAAAGGCAGTAAAAGCCATCTACAACTGAAAGAAGAGCAGTGGGACAGTTACAGCACCTTGCATCATAAATGAATTCGCTCAGCTATCAGTAGGTGCTACACCCCTACACAGGTAAATAAAGCATAATCAGGCGCTGCGATTTACATTTTTTTTTTTTTTTTAAGGAATAATGCAATTAAAATAAAAGTCTTCCAGTGTGTCAGCCAAAGCTGCTCTTGCTAAATCTACGTGACCGGTACCACCTCCCTCCCATCAGTCTGACAGAGTCTGACACACTAACCATCTTTAAATGAACCTGTCTGCAATGGCTATTGAGTCCTCTTCTCTCCCACCACTTTTCTCGTCCGCAGTCTGTCATTTGTTTCCACACTCTCAACACACTTGCAACACACTGAGCGGGGGGGGGGGGGGGGGGGGGGAGTGCAGCAGAGGAGAGAGCCCATTTCGGGGCCATTCCTTATTCAGATGTTACAAATGTGCCAATTTCTTCCATCAGAAGTAAGAATCTCCCACGTCTAATAATGCATTCCTTCCTCTCTTTAATTATTAATGATGTTAAAGAGGGATGCATCACTCTGTTTCTCCAACACAACACTGGTGTACAGGCAGCCAGTGACAGAGGTAATTGCAGTTCTTACAGGAGCGAATTTATTACTTCCCCAGTCAGGGTCCCAGGATTCTTCATTATCCCAAAGATTTACCACGTAATCTATGCTGTCACTCTGTCTTGGTGCGTGTAGCTGCTATTACTCTCATTAAATGCTTTAGGTCCTGGGTGGCAGCAGCATTACTCATCTCAGCCACTGTGGCTATGCAGTGCTCTCCCTGGTGGCTGGCTGGCTGCTGCTGAGCACCGGCCAATAGGTCCTAGAGGCCTGCCTCACTAACCTAAGGCGAACTGGCTGCACTCAAGATTAGTCAAGACAGCTGGCCGAGGTCTACTGTAGCACAGTGAAGGATAGGATACTCTTACATAGTGATCCACTGCCATCACTGTTTTGTTCCGGCATAAGCCGGATGAAACAACATTGGCAGGATTTCAGAAATGCCGTGAAGGCTGAAAGTTAACACTGCAGGACAAATATTTTTCCACTGAATAATCTACTTTGACTCTGTGCAACTGGTGCACAGTTTCCACATGTATTTGTTTTGACAGTATCACTTTAATTTGTGCAGTTTCTGGTTTTTCTCCTTTATATTAAATGTAAAAAAAATAGTTAAGTTAAATAAATTACAATCACTGACCAACTGGTGATAGGGAATCCTCGAATTTGAGACTAATATTTTGATCAACGAGTTTTTTAATAAGTCATGCCAAAGATAGAACACACAGAGGTGAAATCTTATCGGATAGCCACAGGGAAAAAAAAAAAAGAAACAATATTCTGCCTTGAGCTTTGATTATATTAATTTTGTCATTTATCATCCATTATTCAAATTACAACACAACATTGATGCTTAATTGATTCCATTTTACAGTTGTGTTAAGAAACTAATCAAGCCTGCTCCAGCAGGTAATGTCCTAGATCCTCACATCAGATGAAATAACTCCACTCTCATAACACCCTTATCAGCTGCAACGGTGACCCAATTGAAAACTGCCTGTCAGACTGTAAGTGAGCAAGACGAAATTTGACATATTCACTGCATGTGTGTGAGTGTGTATGGAGCTTTGCTTCCATATTGAGTGTGTGCTATTAAGCATGTTGGCATGATAGGTTGTTTCATACCATCATAGCAGAAGCCGTGAAGACAGGGGCTAGAGCCGCACTCATCCACATTGATTTCACAGCGGGGGCCAGTGAAGCCCCGGCGACAGTGACAGCGGAAACCTAAAGGGAAATGGTCCTGATCCAACTCCTCCACACACACTGCACCGTTCTCACAGGGATTACTGGCCTCGCAGGGTAGGAACTCACAATTATGACCTGGAGTGAAGCAAAAAAAACACACATAGGAAGACCTTACAGCAGACAAGAATCTGTGTAGAAATACAATGGGACTGTAGACCTGGGTATATTAAAGATTAAACCCATATTGCACATTTCCTTGAACCCGTCTTAGTGGTAAATGACATGCTACGTTAAGCTTACTCACTGAACAGAGGGACAAACAGCCACACAGAAAGTCTGACGAGTGTTACAGTAGAAGCTGATCCACTCACTTTCTAAATTTGCTGAATTTAAAATACTGTCATTTTTAGAAGTATTCTCTCTTTATGCACCTCACACAAACACAGTCAAAGAGTTTTAGATGCATTTTTGGACAGTCAAAACTAATAACTGCTGTTTTTATTTCATGCATTTCAGTGGCTCATTAGAAATGAAATGTCTGATGTTATTACAGTATCTAAAATATAACAATATCATTTTGTGCTTGTGACAAAACAATTTCCAAATGAATAGTCTCTGTCTTTAGTTCTGATTGGCAGTCGTGTTCTGTGCTAATTTAAAAGCACACCTGTGGCTGTCTAACAGTCAGTTTCATTGCTAATGCGCTTGCTGAAAATTACCATTTGAGCTGTTAAGATTTTTGTGTCAGCTTTGTTTTCGCAAACTGCTAAAACTGTACAGACAAATTAAAATCCCAGACATCATTATGTTCAGGTCACGCATGAAGCAAACATCTGTTAAAGACGATCACTCCTCTCGAGCACAAATAAGAAAGTTATAAAATACAAACAGAGGGAAAGAAAGAAAGAAAGCAAGAAAAAGAAAGAAAGAAAGCATGCATAAATACAAACCGCCTTAAAAAAGCAAGTGCAGACCGTCAATTCGAACAGGTAACACACATTAAATGACTGAACAGAAAATGGTGAATGTTGCAGAACAAGCAAAAATGGTTATGTGTCCTACCTCTGATAATTTCTGTGAAACAGTCACATGAAGAAAAATGGCGAGAAAAAATAAACAGGACAATCTTACTGCAAAAATGATCAGAGGAGAGTGAAATCAGCTGCTTATTATTTTTAGAGGACTTGCTAGATCCAAGTGGGTTCTGCATGTCTGGCACATTATGGCTTTTGGCTGAGCCAGCAGGTTGTTGCAGCCGGAGTTACTTAAGAATCTGACAAGTTCAGAAAGTTTAGTAAGTTAAGTCAGCTTACTACACAGAAATTTGGTGGAAATATTAAAATGTGGTACTTTTACAATGACACTTTTCCAGTCATACAGTAAGTATACAGTCTTTCAATGACAGTGGAGCTACACCATGAACGGGCAATAGCTCCTCTCCTTGGTAAAGTGGTGGCAACAATATTATTGTCAAGCACACGGCACTTTCCAAATACTTACTGGTCATTGTATAACAAGGACGGTGGATATTCAAGCTCCATGATGGTACATTTTGATATAAACACTGAAGCAAATGACTCTCCGTAGTGTGTGTGTGAATGGGTTGCCTGACCTGCCAATCTCACTGAGAATCAACAGCCCACTCTAAAGCTGTTGAAGCCGCTTGTGGAGCTCTCACCAACTCCAGGACTGTAATGCAGCAAAGTCTCCACTGCCAAGTCCCTTGTTTTGTGGCCACATTTGGATATACTGAGCAACAATGTACATTTACCAATTTGGAGAGTGGTAGCAAGCTTGTGTATTAAATTAAAGGAGACCAGAAATTCATATTTGCGTCAGACACTTTGCCTCTCAAATGTGTGAGATTTAACGAGGAAGATGGATGAGGTGCTGATTGGCTCTAAAAACAAACTGGCACAAACCAATGCTCCTGCTTCTGTAAGATGTAGATTTGACACAGCAGTGGAAATCCTCATCTACAAAGTGATTTGAGCCGAGCAGGATTTATGTTTTTTTGGGTTTTTTTTTTTCTTGCGGCTGTTAAGTTATTTTTTTTTTACTGTATGGCCAAAAATATATGGTTACTATGCATATATTCATGCATATAATTTACATACTTGCTTTAATATTAGAAAAATAAAACAGAATTTGTCATGGACATAGATTTCGCTCTCTGAGCTTACTTGTATTTGGTTTATTTACAGTCCTCCATCTTTGACAATGTAAAGCTACCATATCATGAAGCCACCTTACAGAAGAAATAGTCCTTCATGGGTAATTGACTATGCCTCATTTCTTCTGTATTTTCTACAGCCCTTTGAATTACAGCTGAAGACTTCCATTTTTATTTTCGTCGGAGCTCTGAATCTTCCTCCTTGGGCTGTCAGTATGCCTTTGAAATACCTTTTTGTAAATTCCATGCGCCTTTTTCTAGAGCCATTTCCTCCCAGACACGCTGTTGTAAAGCCTACATTTGTGAAGTGCTACCCTGACTGTTGTCCTTCCAGAAAGATCTCACAGCCAATGAGCTCATTAGATCTGTCTGTAGAGTGGTCCTTGGGTTGTGACCAAGGTCCATCTCGACTGGGTGCTCGGTTTGTTAGGACGAATGTGTCTGGGAAGAGTCTGGCTGGACAAATGTTTTTTGTTTTTTTGTCGCATTTATTAATGATGGAGCCCTTTGTACTCTCGTGAAATCCCACTACTAGGATTTTATCTGCAGATAATTCCTTAGACTTTGTGGTAGAGTCTCTACAACATGCACAGTTAACAGTAGATCTCTACTAATGACAAACAGCTTGTGTTTTGTTGTGAATTGCAATATTTAGCTATATGCGACATAAACAAGCTGTGCTAATATCACAACAAACCTGTTTATTTAATTTAGTTTTAATCAATTTTTACATATCGTACTATTCCTACAAGTTTCTGTTTTGATTTTTATTATCATATCTTATCATCTACTGTCTTTTTGTTTTCTAATGCCATTGTCCTTCTATTTGCCATTGCTTTTATTGTAATATTTCATTTTTTATTACAACGCAGTTTGAGTTACAACTCTTATATGAAACTATATACTACAGATATAGATAATATACTATTATTATAAATAATAATTTGGTTATTTACAAATATAATTAAAAAAGTTTTACCCTTAATTAGATGTTTATGCAGGTGCAGGTAGAACAGTACCAGCATCATCCTAAATCTAAATTAATTATATCCAAATTTAATACATTCAAGTGGAAAATTCCTATTCTATAACCTACCAATTTATTTTTACAAGAATTATTTATATATATATAGATATATATACACATGCAGACACATAAGCATAGTTAATTAAATAGACATATTTGTGGCAAGTGATAAAAATTTAACATTTTAACTTTGATTAACTACCAATGATCATTATAAAAAGTAGATCCATGTTTTGGCTGAAAACAGTGATCATCCATTAAATCTTAGCTTTTAACCATCTGATCCTCTATTGTTAAATTTTAAAAATAAAAGTGAGTGTGAATCTTTTTCACTGTTGGTGAAATCACCTTTTTTGTTCCATTGATATGCACTGATAGCGCCGTACAGTGACAATAGCTCTTTCCCCTGACTAAACGATGGAAGTTGTCAATTGTGTGGCAGAAGCACCTACCACAATTTACATCTCACTAATTACTCAAGTTTTCTTTATTTAACTACAGGTAGCAAATGAAGATGTACTCATTTTGTTCAGACATGTGAAGTGAGTTCAGACAGGTGAAAATAATAGTATGTGAAGTTAATTAACTTTGCTTTTTGTCCCCATTCCCTCAGTGCTCATTACCTTTAAATGGAGCCACACATAGGCAGAAGTAATTACCAGGCTGGTCAATGCAAGTGGCTCCATTCTTGCAGGGAGATGAAGCACACTCATCAATGTCAAGTTCACACTTTGTACCTTTGACAGAAAAGAACACAGATTGATAAATATGTTATATCGAAAGGTCACTGACTTGTATGTTTGGCAGTTAAAAACTAATCAATGTGTCCTGTAGGTGCTGTAAGGTGGTGCTGTGCTGTAAATCAGGATAGAAGCAAAGCTTTTCTGTCTTACAGATGCCACCTTGTGCTGTTGTCCACACTACAGGCTTGTTCACATCACTGTAGAGCAACCACAACCTTTCATATATAAACAGGAGTTGGGAAACCAGCTCCTTTGTGATCATAAGCTTCAGCACTGCAGTCAGCAATACTGTTTGTAATGCACTGTGAACCAAGCTCTGTGGGAATTATTAGCGTCTATTAGGAAACAGTTCAAATCTGTTACTATGTTTGACTTTTATGGGTGGAAATGCATTATCTTTGTTTTAACTTAGAGTAATTATTCATCTTTGTACTTGAAACAGCTGGCATCACAGCACCACATGTGGGAGAATAATTATTCTGCAAGACTTCAAAATGCGTGAAAGTATTAAACCGCTCTGCCGTCTCCACACTATTTCAAGGAGATGCTGATGGCTACTGATTTTACTTCAAAATGTACCTGTTGTTACTGGAAATACCTACATTTTGAATAAAAATGTAATCATCTGAATGTGTTGTTTTAATTGGTGACAAAGAGTCAGTTGATCTCCATTTTTTTGTCACAAAATAAAAATCACACATGAGCAGCTGCATACAGTAGATACTGTGGTGTGGTTAATTATCTTACCGGGCTTCTGCTAGCATGCTGAAACGCTAATCTAAAATGGTGACCATGGTAAATATCATACAAATCACAGGTTAACATTAGGAGCGTGCTAGCATGCATGTTAGGCTTTAGCTAAAAGCACTACTAAATAATCCTCACACTCATAAGTTCATTATTTGTTAAACCTCTTGAGAAGTGCTGGCTCATTATTGGTACCATGCTTGGTATACAACGTATTAGAAATGCACGTGGATAGAATTGCATTGGAATGCAATACAAAACTAGGTCCTGAATATTTCCAAACATTCCAATATGTGAGAGATGTCACCCACATGGGCTTCACATTCATTGTAAGCTATAAATGTAGCGTACATTTCATTCATACAAACCTGTAAAGCCGGGCGCACAGACACATCCATAGCCATGAGCAAGGTCAACACATGTGGCATTGTGCAGACAGGGAGAGGATGTGCACTCATCTGTGCTGACTTCACAATAATTCCCTTTAAAGACATGACAATAAAAAGAGTCAGTGGTCACAAATGCTCAAAAAAAAAAAAAAGAAAAAGAAAAAGAAAATAGTGTCATACTTTAGCTTTAATTTGTAACATTTTATGACTCATGCTCAGTTTTCAACTTTCACTCAACTTAGCAAAATATATGTTGCATTTGACTTCAAGCCCTTTCATGTAGAATGTGAAATGTGATCACTGGTGACACCCTGAATCCGTTGGCTCCAGTGTTTTAGACAGTTGTCACAAAAATTAAGTCAAACAGATATTTCACATGCGCATTTTGCAACACAGGCAAAATTAATTTGACACTGATATTTTGTTTTGAATATTCAATAAACAGGGACTTTAAGTCCAGATGTCAAAGTTTTAACAGCAACACAACTGCACTGTTCCTCTGGAAAAGCAAGATAATGACACTGTCATCTTTCTGTCCAAACAGAATACTCTATGTGGTTGATATGTATTTATTTCTAAATAATGTGATATAGAATATAGATTATTCTTTTTGTGTTGCCTTCCTTATTTGTTCTCTCTGAAACTACAAAGCAGATGAGCTGTATAGAAACTAATCTGCAAGATAGATTTTTTTTTGGACTATTTCACACATTTGCAGTCTCTGTAAAGCTTTGGAGGAGGCTGCAACAGTGTGAAATGCCAAAGTGAGAAGAGGTCTTTGAATTATAGCAACGTTCCATATAATTACAGTGTACTGTTTGTGCTGCTCCTCTCACACTATAAAGGATAGAGCTTGTTTTATAACCTAATCGCCTCCCATGTGGCTTGACTGTGGTCTGAAGTTTAGCATGAGTTAAGGTCCTCTTAGGACGACTTCCTCTACACTGTATTATCTCTTCTCCCATAATAGGAACAAGAATTAATGAAATAATTTGACTGTTCAGTTGGTTGGTCAGTCTGTTTTGGTTTTGTTTTGGTTTTGTTTTGGCAAGTAGGACAACTTTGCACACAAGATGTTAAGATTAAACGGCTGGACTGGATATTCACGGTCCCCTGAGGGTTACTTATTCTGCCTTTGTGACCTTTATTTGTAATCCACACTTTTATGTGCCTCTTAATTGCCAAGAAATACTGTATGATGGCAATATTCAAGCTCCCACAGGGATAAACCCTGCCCTACATATAAAGTACATATAAAGCCTACATTTACACTATACTCATTAGAACAACTAAGATCAACCAAAAGTAAAACTGGCAAAATCTTTCCTAAAAATTGCACCAAACATCAGAAAATAGTCTCGAAAAAATAAACCTCATGTACCTCACTTCATAAATTTTAAAAAAGAAATAAAAAAACAAGTCACTATTGTTGATCATTGATGAGATGTCATAAAAATAAAAGGTCAGAAAACATATGCAAACATTTTACTGTTTCACTTATGACTTTGGTGGGTTTTTTTTTTTTATACTATTTCAGCTACTTGATTGATGGGCTGTTAAACAGTCCATCCATCTTTTGGTCGATTTTTCTTTCTGAAACGGGCTTTAAATGAGGTTATTTGATTTTCATTAATAAAATTTAATTGAAACATAAGGTGTTTTTCTTTTTCATGATCAAAAAGGGATGAGTGAATAAAAAAAAGAAAAAGTTTCATTTTCTATTGCGCATGACAAAAATAAAATCACCTGTCTCAGAATATGAAAAAAGTTTTGCTCATCCCCTTTTGATCATGAAAAAGGAAAAACTAATGACCAAAATGTCATGCCTAAGATCAACTGAATGCCTATGCTTATCATTTTGTGGTAATGATTTACAGTATTTATAGAAGACGAACAACATCCATGTTTAATCTAACATGCCTTCACAATTAAAAACATCACCTGCCACATACTTTGAGCAGACACAGCCGTTTCCTCTTCACGTAAAAAATATTATCCTGATAGGATTTCTGTGAGTCCTCCGTAACTTTTCCTTAATAAAAAGTGTCCATTATTGATGAGAATTAAGGTTGAATAGAATGTGATCAAAAACTGATTATTCCCATCGATGCTAAAACAGACAGCCAGGGTCCAGTATACCTTTCCACTCCTCCAACACATTTACAGTACCACCTGTAGTTAAAGGAGAAGTAGAACAAGAGCTATGACTATAAAACATTAGGTACAGTGAGTGAAACTAGTTAGATGCTGCCCCAAGCATGAAAAGGTAAATGTACTTTAATGTGATTTCCACAGTTCATTTAAGGGGAAAGAGCGCTTACCCTTTGCTTTTCCTGAAATCTGACCAGAGCCATGTTCCAAATCAAACTCATCAGGGTTTAATAAATGTACGAGTAGGTACATTATTAAAAGTTCAACTCTCAACTTCAATCCCTATATATTTCCACAGAGTTCCACATCACATTTGTTTGCTTTATACCATATTTTACGTGCAGCAGTTGATTGGCATGGAAATGGAAAATGATGAACACCAAGCAGACTCTGGAAGACGCATTTCAAGCCAGTAATAGCTGAACACAGCTTGGCTGAACATTCATGGAGCACAGGGAGATACATTTATAACAGATGGATGGTCAGATGTTCTATATGAACATCATATGACCTTAAGGATTAAAAGCCTGCATGAACACATGATTACACCCTGAAAGTTCAGGCTGCTCAGAGGGAGCAGAATTCAACACACTCAAAAGCGTATCCATATATCTTGTTGGCATTGTGGTGGAATTATCTCTCTAAGAAAAATGTATTTGTGGCAGCAAGACTATTAATTTACGAAATTAAATGACACATGGAAATATTGCATTTTAATTACCACCACTGTTGTTATGATAACCGAATGTGCAATTTCTGGATGAAAGACTGAAAAAGTATCATTTATATTACATTATAAGTTTTCAAATTAATTCATGCTTTTTTTGAAAATGGCTCTCAACGTGACCTTTAAGTATTAGTATTTGTGAAAACTATTGATATATCCTGTATTTATGTATATATTTTCTCTAAATGTATATTATTTATATGGATTCATTTTCATGTTTCTTAGATTATTTGTATGCTCAGTCTGCCTGCGCATCAGGTAGCAGCAACAGCAAAATCTGGTTTTTGTTCTAAATTTCAGACCTGTCACTTAGAGGACATTGGGTATGAAGAGTTGGACTGAACTTGCCGACCACTCATCATTCATCATACAGCAGTCTGTTTGAGCAATGCTGTGCAAACAAACACAGCCGCGGTAAGGTGCATATAAAATACCTGCGACTCCAGGAGGACACTGGCAGCTGAATGAGTTGAGCTCATCAACGCAGGAGCCTCCATTCTGGCAGGGCTGGCTGAGACATTCATTCACTTCAATCTCACAGTTAGTTCCTGAGAAAGTATTAAAGCCGCACAACATTGTGACATATTGCCTCTGTGAATAAAATGTCACTTTAACTGACAAAGAACAACACCAAATAGGTTTCACTTACCAATAAATCCAGGCGCACAGAAGCAGCTGTAGCCATTCACAGTGTCTTTACAAATACTCAGGACTCCACACGGCTGTTCATCACAATCGTCAATGTTCATCTCACAAAACTGGCCTGTGAAACCTGCGGAGAGAGAACAGCTACCTGTTTATACCTCTGCCTGGTGAAGATCTCTGGTCTTTCCTTCTAACTATCTAATAAAATGTACAATTACTGTATTATTAATTAATGACCAAAATTGGATTGTTGCTTTTAAAACTTGACAAAACATACACGGACAACCTCTCTAAACACATGAAGTTATTCAGACGTGATACCACATGATTTATCAAATGTAATTAAAGTAATGACTGGAGCACGAGGGCGACCCGATACGTGTTTCTGCTGACATTTTCTCACTGTTGAGCAGGTGATAGCGGTGATGTACAAACAAACATAGCAGTATACCTACAAAGGCAGAGAAGAAGAAGGCTGCTAGCTAGCAAACATGGATGTAAACAATGTATTAAAAGCATTCAAAAAAATTGATTTTGCCCCTTTTGGAAGGAGGAAATGTGCGCAACGTGTTTGCTAAGCTTCAAGAAGACAATACATGTACAAGAAATCCTGAATGCAAAATGCAAGTTAGGATTGCATTCAGGATTACTTAAACATAAAACCTAAATATATTACAATGCTGCAAATGAGACTTATTTTAATTGTAATTGAGTTTATGTTTGTCTTCAGTAAAATTACAAATTTTTTCAATTCTCAACTCAGTTACTGAAATTGGAGGCTTTTTTATTATAACTGGTCTTTTCTCTGTTCATTTCAACATTTATTTACCTTCGAGGGTTATGCCACATTTTATATTAGCCATGACAGCCAGCCAACACTTAACGTCTTACATGCTGTTCACTTGGAACTTCACAGGAACTTGGTAGGTAATTATGAATAAAAAATGTGAGCTATTTATACCATGAAATAATGTAATAAATTAAATGATTTTCTCATTTTTTTTTATAGTAAGTAAAAAAATAAAATAAAAAAAAAAACTACAAAAAGGTACATTAAGGCAGGTAATAACCTGCACACTAAGTATATAGTAATAACCTGTGACTTACTGTAATTAAAGGTACAGTTACTAAAGTTAATTTCCTTATTTAGTGATGCATCTAATTATTACCTCTCAAATATTAGATCAGGTACTTCCTGTCATATAGTCGGAGTAAAACGCTATGTAACAACAGTATATTCCTTTGATAATAAATCATTTCTTTGATGAAATGCCAACAGAGGACTCCTAGATCCTAAGTGAGCAAACAGACATTCCAAGCATCATCACTGCTTTGAAGTCGGCTCACAAACTGAAGTACTGACTTACACATTTCATATGGCTGTTACGTGTTGTTGCTTAAGGCCAAAGAGATTAGACTCCCACAGAGAAGGAAGCTGAACAAGTGAAAGCATCAAACTGGGAGAATGTCTGCTACGTACATGATTCATTTGAGGAATTGCCGTCATTGGAAACAAGCCCCCGCTGGATGGTGAACCTACCTGGTAAACAATCACACTTGAACCCTCTTGATAGATCCACACACACTGAACTGTGCTGACACAGGCCATCGACACAGTGGTTTATAGGTGTTTTGCAGTGTGGCCCAGTGTAGCCATGTTGACACACACATCTATAAGTATTTGCCAGCTCTTCACAGAGGAGAGTCCCCTCAGGGTCGCAAGGATTCGACACACATTGGTTCACAGATGAGGAGCAGTCTTTGCCATGGTATCCTGTAAGAGGTGGGATCAAAGAAGTGATTGATGTGCTGTGCTGTGTACAGTATCCTCCTGCCTTCCCACGTCTGGCAGACATCATGGATTGTGATTTCACGTAATGCTGTCATTGCCAGTGTTTTTCCTCCCGGCTGATTTACATATTTTATCCAGCCAGAGCATAAAGCGCTAAAACCAAGGAGGGATTTCAGCATCAGTACACAAATTACAGGGGAAAAAAAAAAAAAAAAAAAAAAAAAACTGCAATGTGTGGATTTTTCCACCAATTGTAACTAATTTGTGGATTTGTTCATGAGCTTTCTAATGGTATTCACTTAGAGGTAAAAGCTGATTTGGTGATACAAGAGAAATGAAAAACATTAATGTTTTCACATGCATCAGGGGGCTGAATTCACAAGAGGGAATGATCTAGAATAAACCAAGCACATGACACACTGTGGTTATAATGACAACATAAGATTGGTACTACTTCGTCTATTGCACGTCTACATTTCGAGATGGAATCACTGGAGTAATTGATAAAGTGCCAAACTTGATTCAAAACAAAATCTGAGCTCATCAAATAAATTACAAATCTACTGCATAAACATGATGGTTTAATATACCTGGAAGGCAAATACAGTATATCTCTCCAGTAAAGCTGCGGGAGCAGGTTCCTCCATTCTTGCAGAAGTCAACATCTGATGCACACGCAGAGACAAATATAGAGCAATTCTTACCTGAGAGGTAAATCAAGAATGTTAATTGAGCCTGTTTGTGTTAATTGAGATTAACATAAACTAAGAAAAAAAAAAAACCCATCACATCACCAACATAATGACACATCTCAATTACCTATCATGCAAATGAGTTTGACTGCAGAGAGCAACAGCCATTAATGTGATGAACTAGCATGATGTGTTATGCTTGTGCTCGGTAATGGAGCCAGTAGGAGTGACAGTACGGTATAACTCCTGAGTCTTTGTATTTTCAGTGTCTATCACAGTTTCTTCACACCGCCAAAGGCACATACCATTTATTTAGTCTAGTTTTGTAATCTGCTTATAGTGTCACAGCACAAAAAAACATGAATAGAACTGATGAGGGTACATAAAGGTTCCATTCGCACCACACTAAAATATAAAAATGGAGACTTAATGAACATGTATTAGCAATACAGACCTTGGCATTTTGCCAACTTGAATCATATATGCCCCTCTGATGGATTTAATAAAAGATACACAGCACTTTATTAGATTTTTTAACCAATATATCATCTTTGGATAAATACTTCAGCCTGCATTCAGCTTCTACACGAGCAGAAAGAAAGCTATCTTCATAGTCAGTCAGCTGCAGTCACTCTGAAATTGGTGAATGAGCTCTAACATTAGACAATGGGAACACTTTGATGGTTATCAGTGCTGAAGAGTCATCAATCTACACTATGTTCATTAAAGCCTAAACTATGAAAATGATGACAGAGATAACTCACCAGCAAAGCCCAGAGGACAGATGCACTCATAGTCTGCAACCAGGTCAATACATGTGGAATTATTGGCGCAATATCCATGGACACATTCATCATAGTTGATTTCACAGTTCAACCCCCCAAACCCTGGTATGAATAAGAAAAAAAAAAAGAGAGTAAATCTCATCAGAGTGTGAATGTCAGTAAACACCAGACTTGAGAAGATACTAATTAGGATCAAATTACACCCAAAAGCAACGTTTTGCTGTCGTGAAATTTTACTTGACTTTTTCTTTCTTTTACTGCAAATAAACAAGTGCATGCCGCGAAGAGAAGAACACACCCGAGTCTGCATTCGAGAAAATAGATGATATTTTTTCACATTCGTATTGTGTGTCTGGATGATTAATGTCCTTTCTTGCTGATTAATTTCTAGTTGTATCAGCACATTTGATATTTCAAACATAAAAGGTTAAATTCATGAAGTAAAAGCGAGTGCTGACAATTTCTGACATTTTAGTTCCCCATAAATATATTCCACCGCATGGTCACGCTACAAAATGACTATCATTAGCACTGTCACACACTGCAGCTACAGGAGGCCCATGACTAATGCTTGGCTATCAGCACCATCGGTGCAGGTCAAATTCTCATCATTTCTCAAACTGACCATGGAACCAATTTCCACTTCTCTCCATGTCATAAAATTTGACAATTATCCTGACTTCATTAAAAATGCATAACAGGCTTCACCCGCAATCAAGGTTTAATCAGAGGTATGTCTAACAGGTAAGATGTCAACTGGACCAAGAAATGATCGGGGAAAAAAAAACAAAAAAAAAAAAAAAAACAGCTGAAATGTATTCCTTTGTACCCTAATGATCCAAGTGACGATTTCTGATGGAATGATTTTATGAGATTGGAGAATTTTAAAACGCAAACATATCTGTTCACCTTACAACTGCAGCACAGGAAACAGGAGAAAAATATGTAATTGAAAATAATCACCAATAAAAGAAGCAATCAACATCACGGGGTCAACTTTTGTTGAGAGTTGCTGTTGAGGTTTTGTATTCCGAGCAAATACCACAGCAACTGATTAGTTCCTGCAATTCAGCAATAACAACGCCTATTGTGTGTGTGGTCTGAACAAAATTCTGTTGACTTTCAACCGTCTACAGCCCATGTCCAGACATATTAAGATAAACTTTTTGCTGTCATCTTATCAAGGACATATGGTTATATCAAAGTAGTTATCTACTTTTTTTTGTTCAGGAAAGAAGAATTTGGACCAGACTGAGTACACTGATAAAAAATAGTCCGTACTGAATGTAATGTGCAAGAAACGATCTCTTCATTTGGAAGGAACAATTTAATAACATTGCATGTGATGTTTTTTGATTATCTGAACATACAAAGAAGTTTTTTTTTTTTCTCCAGGGACGAGAGTCTGGGGAATGAGTTCTTGAGTGGATAATATTGAAGAAATTGGTTTGAGGAAGATGGAATTTCTCTTGTAATTGTCGAAATGATTAAAAACACAGCTGATTATTAAAAAGATCTGAGTGGCAAGATATTCTTTTTGGTTTTCAAAGAATAAAAACGATGGCCTTTTTGTTGATTGTAAATCTGGGCTTGGGGCTGCTTGGAAGACTGGATAAAGGGAACAAACTCATAATTAGAAAACAGGCCCTGAGACAAAGTAGGTTGATCATTTTTACTGTACATATTGATACTCATGCTCAATTAACTGCACTGGGGGATGTGGTTAAGTTTATACAAAGTGTACATGGGATTTATATACCTTGTTACTGCAACTGAAATCTGTATGTGTTATGTCATTACGGTATTGAATATTGAATAGTTGTAGCTGCATTCATATGTTGTTTATAAGACGTTATAAGATGGGTTTTTTCTTATATCCTTGTTGAATATCAGCACCAAATAGAAGAAGGTACTCGCTTGTTGATTTAAACTGTAGCTGAGGTGGAAAAGTCTTTTTTTTTTTTTTTTTATCTCCATTTATCCACAGGAATAAGAAAAACACCAAACAAAAGAGTGGAGGAAAAAAAAAAAAAATAGCACAGAGGTGTTTGTGAATCGCTTTTCCATTTAAACCAGGGGTCACAACAGCGGAGCTGAAAGCAGCTGGTTGCACACTTTTTAAAAACCAGAGAATCAAAGATCTGAATTAACCACATAATCTTATCCTCTCAACTACTGCGGGATCTACAGTAATTGCACTGCAACTTACCCTCTGAGCAGAAGCACTGATACTGGTCAACGCCGTCCACACAAATACCACCATTCTGGCATGGCTTTGACTCGCAGTCACTGAGATTTACTTCACAAAACGATCCTCCAAACCCTGCAGCACATTTAAAAAAATAAAAAAAACCAAACTATTATTGGAATCTTTTTGCCCGGTTTCATTCCTCAGCCAATTAGGATCAGCATGACTTTGTTTTCACAAACAAAAGCTGCTTTTCAAAGCTTGTATTGATTCAAAGAGCTTGCTGGGCACATGCAGACTCAGCTCACTGGATCATTTAATCATGTTTAATAAGAGCCAGTCATTGCCCTTCTGATTTATTACATTAAAGAAGCCAAATCCAGTGATTTTTAAGATCAAAGTCAATCTATACACAACAGGAACCACATGAAACAAATAACATGCATCAGTGCACATGTGTAAACGCTCCCACACCGTACACACGTACACACACACACACACACACACACACAGACACACCAGCACAAGCCATTAAAGAAAAAGAAACCTGTCGGTGCTTAAGCCACATTATTGCTGCTGCTGCTACTCAGGCTGTATGTAGGTTAACCTCACCCTTAACTACCACACACATTTGTTATGTGCGTACAATAGTGAGCGTTTCACACAGTCAGCCAAGGACTGAGCAGAGCGTATGGGTGCCGAGATGCTCTTCACAATTAGATGCGTGGAGAATGAATATAAAAAGAAGTCGTGGAAGCCGTCTTACTGCAGAATAAGCAGGTTTCCTCCAAAATAAAACTGTGGCGTTATACAAAAAAAAAAAAAAAAAAAAAAAAAAAAAAAAGGGTTTCCCCAAAAAAAAAACGTGGGGGTTAAAAAAAAAAAAAAAAAAAAAAAAAAAACGAGAAAAACAACAAAAACAAAAACAACTGCTGCATTGCAAAAACCTGCTAGATGACAAAAAACTCTCTCATGCCAAGAAGGGGCTTTTGATGAAACAACAGCTTCTGGAGCTCAAATAAATTTATGGCAAAAATAAGTCTTGCACTGCAAAGCTGCTCCTTTGAAATAAATGCTAATGTAAAACAAAAAGATACTGCTGTCAAAAATTGTTTTGGAGGTTGTAAAAACACAATTATCGCCTTGCAAAACCTGCTCTTCAAGAAAGTTTAATCACTTAGAAATCTAGGAGGAATTTCCCCAGCAACTTTCATAACGAGCCTGAACTGTATTTGATACATATGACTCAAATCATACATCAAAAATACACCATGCCAAGTTCATCCAAGCATCCTCAGTTCAAGGATATGATTTAGT